TAACGCATAGGATTGTTAGTAGTTGTTTAGAAGTGTTATTTTTTCGTACGCTAATGTCTTTTTATGTTTATGTCGCTCTAGGTTCGCCCCTCTAATTTTCCATTTATTGCCACTTCTATATAAAAGTTTTCTGCAAATTTAGTATATTTTTCATTGATAATTACTGCTATGTATATCCAATAATCAGGCTTTCTTGGAAACCATTAATTAAGCAGGTGGATCAGAATCGAGAGAAAATCAGACACATGTTCACAGATACACGAACGCATCTAAGCCAGCGTGCGCACGTACGAAACTTATATTATCGGATGTTATATGCTGTACATTCTGTATCTTTCCTCTAGCAAACTGTGGAAAGGAAAAGCTATTCATCCATCTCACGGCCCGTGGACGCATTTAGGTGGAATGGGAACTGCCAGCTGCGACTACCTACCGCGAGGCTTGGTTCGCAAAGACCGCTGCCACGCCACCGGCAGCGAAGAACAAAAGTACTGACCGTCTCAAATCCCACTAATCAGAAGTCGCTGACGAGTACGCAAACTCATTAAGGACTTTATATCGAACCGGCGCCGCTGCGTGCATACGCCTCATGCATGCGTTACGCGGCGGAACTGGGGCTTGCGCTCAATTAACTCCTTATACTACTCGGGCCTCCAATTCGCATTTTAGTACCCGGCTCAAATTTGCGTTCGCAGCCCGGGCTGGCTTCGGAAATTCCAGTGGCCCGACATCAGAATGACATATGACACGCTGTCACGCAGTAGGACGAGTTATTTCTCTTCTTCGGAATAGTTCGTTGAAAATGTTCACACAACATTCAGTTAAAGTTTCAATTGACAAATATATAGGAGAGAAATTTGTTTTATGATGAATCGATTTTATCTTTTTTTAAAATACATTAAATAGATAACGCTACAACATAAAGAAGTTAAATAAATGAATTGTGTCATAAATACTCGCTATTTTTCCTTACCTCGCCAAACAATTGTAATTACAATGTCGGTGTTATTCTTGAGCGAGAGGATGTGCGGGGGGCTGCGAGAGAGGAACTGGGAAAGGAAAGGGGGTGGGAGAACCTCGTGGGTGAGCTGGGAGAGGATGGGGGGTTGCTGGGGAGCAGAACGGTGAAGCTGGGAGCAGGATGTGGGGGGCTGGGAGAAGATGTGGGGACTGGGACAGGATGGGATGCTGCGCGAGAGAATGGCGGAAGCTGGGAGAAGCGAATGTCGGGCGGGGCTGTGGAGAAAATGATGGGAAGCTGGGAAGGATGTGGGTGGGGCTGGGAGAGGGGGAAAGCTGGGAGAGAATGGGGATGCTGGGAGAGGATGTGGGGGGGGGCTGAGAGAGGGAAAAGCTGGAGAGGGATTGGGGATGCTGGCGGAGAAGATGGGCGAAGCTGCGAGAGAAGATGAGAATTGCTGGCGGAGAGGATGGGGGAGGCTGGAGCAGCTCTAGACTTCACCGCGTGGTGCGAAGAGCCCAGAAGCGTGCGACTTCCCCGTGAATTGCGAGCGTCTTGCGAGGATGTGACGAAGTCCCTGTTGCCAGAATACTGCCACGTATTTACTGCACGTGCATGGGCGTTATATCTCATTAACAAAGGCAATAATTCATCAAAAAAAGCCCGGCGAAACCTAACACATGACTAGCACTATTAACTCACACGCACGAACGCACGAACGCACGAACACACATATGCAAACTTACTCGTGAGTATGTGTGTGTGAGTACGGCGTGCGTGCGAGCGGACGTGCGTGTGAAGAAATACACGTTCTAACTATATAGAGCAGAATATTGAAACGTACTTATTTTCCCACTCACTCTCGATTTTATTTGACTTTTTTTTTTATCAGAGCAAGATCATCGTGCGACATAGGTATCTTAAAATAACATAAGTATAGACATACTCACATTTCAAACAACGTATTATATCTTTCAGTGAGCTTTCCTTTTTGCCACAATCGTATACTTGAAAGCAAATGATGTCCTAATTTCTAGGAATGGGTCAAGATAAACAACAGAACGACAACAAAATTATATCAGGAGCAATAAAATAAACATTTGTTTTTTACTTACTGCTGATAATAATAGTTTAGTGTTCTGGCATTGTTCACCCGGCAGAGCCAGCAAGGCTGACCAGATGACAGCGATGGTGAACAGTTGAACGTACATATTCCCCAGACTGGAAGCGAAGTAAACAACACCATGGACAAGAAAATAACTTCCTAATAACAGTAACAGAATAAAGCTACGCGGCATAAATCAATGCACACAGTATGCTGTGCACGTACATGGTGTATTTTAGCCATAAAACTGGAATACAAACCGGATTAATAATAAGTGATAAAATTCCAGTCTAAATGCAACCGACATAGAATTTTGCAAATATTAACGCGATTTTAGTCAGCGTGCGATACCATAGATTACTAATAAGTGATAAAATCTCCCTACCTGCGCGGCTCTACACTACACTTTCTAACTGCGTTACCTTTATAGGACTCAACATGTGAACCGAACATAGAATTCTGTAAATATAAGCCGTGATTTTAGTCAGGTGACATACACAGATATATTCTAACAGGCGATATAAATCAATCATCATTTAATTATGTCCTTGGGCACCAATGTCCATAGCCATTCCCCGGCCAATTTTAGCAAACGCAGAAGCATTCCTCTATCTCCCTATCTCTCTCTCTCTCCCTCCTATCGCTGCTCTCCGATTCTCTCTATATCTATCTTTCTCTCTGTGCTCATGAACTATCAAGTTGCTGGCAGTGCGCGACAGATGGGTCAGTTGCCTCAGTCCAGTCTTCTTGGATCCACATGTCAAGAGACCAGCGCCGATGATCAGGATAATAACTCTCAAAATATTTGTCGATAGTAACAAGCCTCCTTTGTGGTGGCGGGTGTTTAGTGGATACTTCTCAGCAGTCTCTTCTGCCATCTCTTTATCGAAACCTAAACAATAACATCACCTTGATTTGTAATACATTAAATTATATATATATTATATATGAATATATAATTTGACACGTAGCAGAGCGAGTTATTTGTAATACCAAGACTGTATCACAGTTCCAAAATCAAGAGAATCTGAATGCCTATCTTTAGTTTTTTAAGTCAAGTTTTGTTATAAATTTTGGTGATACAAACATTGAAAAAAGGTCAATCATCTCGTGATTATAAGCACGCACATGCATGCACGCACACGCACATACATGCACGCACACGCACATGCATGCACGCACACGCACATGCACAAATACAAACACGCGGAAATACTGCCGCATACGCACACGCATGCGCACACGCATGCGCACACGCACACACACATGCGCACACGCACACACACGCGCACGTGCACACACAAGCGCGCGTGTACCCACACGCGCGCACGTGCACACACACACGCACACAGACTCACACACACACACACACGCACGCACGCACGCATACACACACACCACACACAGACAGAAACACGTACACACACGCACGCACACACACACAC